GTTTTATATTTATTTACACAAATGCTGGCATCTGTTTTTAACTGTAAAAGGTTTTGATATAAAATTAATATATTTAATATTTTTTTCTGAATTACATTAATAAAATGGAAAATTATAGACCCCATTTTATTGATATTTAAATAGTACAAGCTTATGTTGAACTATTCTTGTACATACAGGCGCTGTATTAAGCAGGACATAAATCACTGAATGAAAAGGCTTTCTGTTACCACACGTAAATGTCTAAAACGTTTGTTTATTTGAGAAATATATCTAACCAACTTCATCTAACTGCAATAAAGACAGCAAACAGTGCGCGAGAGTCGCGGGAATCAGTGACTGCAGTGCTCCGTTTTCAACTCCTCCCTCGACTTCAAGCGGCAAATCTCGCCGATCGGTATTCGGTAAGTTCGTTTGAGATGCCAGATGCCTCTACCTGAACGGGGACGAGAATAGACAGCAGCAGTCATCCTCTAATCGTATTTGTGGCAGTTGTACAAGCGTTTGGGTGAACTCCATGCTGGTAGCGATAGCGCTTACTATGCTGGCGGAAGTAAGAATACCCTGCTTCACGTCAGAACGGAAGTTGCGTGACGTCGTGTGAAAAGGGCCTATTACGAGTTCTACGAGGACGTGAACGCTTTTTACAAGTTGGAATCTTGTAATTACGGGAATTCCGATATGGCGTGAACGCACCTTAATACAGACCCTTTCATCTCCCTATATTCAGATTGTTCAACCATAGTTCACACGCCACACCTTGTATGTTTTCACGCTGAGAAGTAAGGGACAACATGTCTCTCTATTTTCTATTAATGGACAATTAAAGTTCAATTTCATAGCTGTCTCGAGTTAAATGCCACCTACCAGCCAGTCAGAAATTAGAATTAAAATGTTTCCAGGTAAATTACGTGATTCCGCTGCGCTGCAAGCACGTTCGTTACTGGCAACATGGCGCGCGCGCACACACACACACACACACGAAGCGGAAGAGCAAGATGAATGCTGTAACCCCCTCAGTTGTTGTTTTTTTTAGCATTTTGATTTTACTATTCATGGACGAAATCACTTATCTGTGATCAAAGACAGTGAGAGCTGATGTTGGAGAATATAGTCACATTTGTGCTAAATTATTGATAGAGTCAAAAACTATCAAACCAGATGCTTTAACTTAGTTGTGGCTACCTGAAAGACGTTAAAACAATTGGCAAATCTGATCAAAGACAGACAAATTCATCCAAATAGAATAAATTGTTTTATGGAACCGATTTCAAAACTACAAATGTATCAAAAATAAAAAGAAACTTGGCCCCAAACAACCCAACTGAGCAGCAGTGCTCAGTGTACACACTGTAGGCCTACACAAAGTAGGGTTGCAGAACTTGCCCTGAGCATGTATGTCAAGCAGAGAGAGAGAGAGAGAGAGAGAGCGCATTTCAGCTTGTTTTTTTTTTAATGTTGTGATTGAGAGAGAGAGAGAGAGAGAGAGAGAGAGAGAGAGAGCGCATTTCAGCTTGTTTTTTTTTTTATGTTGTGATTGTTGCACATTTTGATGCCTTGGAGTGGGGGCCAGTGGGCTCCCACTTAAAGTACTGTGGCTTCCCCACTCAAATGTAGATGCAGAGGGAGTTCGAACAAAACTAGGAACAGTTTAGCACTGGACAGAGCCTCAGTGCTTTAAGTGGGAGCCCCCTTGTGCCTAACAAAAAAAAAATTTATAATAATTCAATTTTGATTTGGAGACTTTCGTATTAAGGGTGTGGATGGAAGTGTTCCAAATAAGATAATAGGAATACAAATTTAAAAACAAAAATAAGAGAATGTCGTATTATCGTGAAACTTGTTTTTAATCAAACCAAAGTGAGCGTAGCATATGCAGCAAGCAATTTTGTTATGGACCCGAGAAAAAAAAAAAAAAAAAAAAAAAAAAAAAAAAAAAAAAAAAAAAAAAAAAAAAAAAAAAAAAAAAAAAAAAAAAAAAAAAAAAAAAAAAAAAAAAAAAAAAAAAAAAAAAAAAAAAAAAAAAAAAAAAAAAAAAAAAAAAAAAGGTAAACCTAATTCATTAGTCAACAAGCACAAAATATTTACGAAATATTTATTGCATTATCAATGGAACAATTTTATGAAGTCACTTTCACACTTTATCAAAAGCTTGAAAACAAGTTAACAAAACCTCCCAAAAGACCAGAGTGTGGTGCCTTTTTTGCCAATTGCACTTATTTCTCTGAGGTAGACCTGAAGTGTGGGGGCACATAAACATCCTTCGGTATTCTTGCACGTCTGAAGAATTGGTGCAGTGGCAGGGTGTCATTCTGAGGCTTCCGACTTCTTGGTTCTCCTGGCCTTTCAGAGTGGATATTAGGATTCTGCATGTACCCAAATGAAGGACCCTGACTGTAAGGAAGTTGTGCAACTTGTGCCTCAGCTTTTTTCAGTAAAGGAAGGTGCACAGGTGGCCTTGGAATTGAAGCTTTGGACCGTGGCTGTAAAAATCCTACAGGTCTAGATCCAGTATTTTCTGTGGAAACATCACCTGAAAGCACCTCTGGTCTCAATGGTGGATATGGGAGTTTGGAAAACTGACTGGGCTGGTATTGTGAACGACTTGAGACTCCTGTGCCAGGGGTATGGACAACAGACCTCTGATACAGATTTGGAGATTGGTCCCCACCAGTCTGATACTGGAGATACTCGGGTGTCTGGCTTGAAGCGGACACAAATGGCCTCAACTCTTGAGACAACCCTTTAACAGGAAAGTAACTGGTTGACCAAGGCTGTTGGACTGACCCATAAGGTTGACTAGGCTTTTGGTAATATTGTGGCTGGAAGGGTCTTGAATCTTGTGAAGCAGGATATGGCCTTGTTTGAGATTGCATATTTATGGGAATAAGCCGAGTAGTAGGTGATAAGGGTGTGGTGGAACCTTTACGACCATAACTTCTTTGGTAAAAGTACTGCTGGTACGGAGGAGGCTGGAAAGCAACAGCACTAGTCAGTTGATGTTCCGAGTATCCTTTCATGGGAGGTGTATCAGGATTAACAGTTGCAAGCGGAGTAATGTCAGGCTTTTGATAACTAGGATTTTGATACTGCAATGGCTGATTTGGAACAGGAGGCTGAAACATCTGTGGGTGTATCTGCAGTTGTTGATTGTCATAAGAGCATAGGAAATAACCAGGTGGAATATACGGTGCCAAGCTGGCAAAAGCAGGATTTACTTTAAGTGGATTAGGTTTAGGAAAGTTCTGAGCCGACCCATACCACTGATACAGTGCAGCACTAGGGACAGACACTCTTGAAAGTTGATATTCTGGAGCAGGAGAAGGCTCAGTTTGAGGAATTGAAGTAGGTTTTTCAAAATTATACGGATACTGCATGTAGTGAGATTCAGGTTTAGGAGCATTAGTGACCGGATCAGCAAGTTCCTGTTGCATCTGCTCATAAGAGACATGGGACGGTCCATTTTGAATATTGGAGCTAAACTCGGAGCTCGGAACAGTAGGATCAGTGGTCGGAGCATAAGTCGGGGCAGGAGTCACATGTTTACTTGTTAAATGGTCTCTGTGAGCCGTCCGTGTTGGGTTGGGAAGTGAAAATGGGAAGTTCACAGCTAGATTAAAAGAGCCAGGCAAAGACGGTATTCTAGGCAGCAAAGGACGTCCGTGTCGAGAGGGTGTTCTAGCTGCATTTCTTGCCGGTTGCTCAACAGGAAACGCTTGCTCCTCCACTATCTGACTGGTTACTGCTTTTGTTGGAAATCCAGTTGGTGGCTTGTGGTATACATTGGGTTCCCTTTGTGGCAGTGGTTGGTTTGTCACAGAAAGCCCCGAGTCAGTGACCGGAAACACTGGTATTGGCTCATGTGGACAGGACAGGGTGATCATCTTGTCTTTTAATTTCAATTCCACATCAGAACGACCATCCTGAGTCACATTTAAACCACATGTCAGAAATCATTTTAAATCTTTACACAATTAAAAAAAACAAAAAAAAAACACAAAAAACAAACCACTGTACTTACTCTGACGGTGACGCCACAGCTTGTATATGGAACCAAAAAGGTGAGATATCCCTGGTTAGACCGCTTCCGGTGCCAGCATTGAGTCGCCACATAAAGCAGAGGTGCCCATTCTTCATTCACTGTGAAAACATTAGCAAATATCAGCAAGACCACAAGTTTCAAGCCTCACAGAAACACCTTCCCCCACCATTACTCAATACTTACATGCAACTGACAGTTCATCTGCTGTTCCATCACCAACAACAGTCAATTCCATGCCACTGTTCTTACACGTGATGGAGGGAGGGGTCACACTTACAGGACAGGTCAGGTCAAGATCTGCCCCATACCAGCTCAGAGATAATACATATTTGGTTTGCTAGAAATGTTGAGCAAAAAGAATAAAGGGAACCGTTTTAAGGGTCATTTTATTGGGACCCACATGTTGCAATTACAATAAACCCGGTTACTGGATACTTGTTCAAACATGGCACATGAAAACATGCGTTTGCTTTATCCATAACTGTAGCTGTCCAATGTATCTGGACATTAAAGTCTAAGATGATGGTCATGACTCATATCAGAAAAAGTGCACCTTTCATTTGCCTAGCAAGAATAAAACCCACATGGAGCAATGCTAATAGATCTTATTGAAACAGCAATACGGAGACTGCAATGAAAACAAAGTGCAAGCTTGCCTCTTGTCTCATATAACAGGAATCATAGTTGAACAGCAGGCGAATATCCGTGTTTGTATTCTTGATGGAAACACCACAAAATGCTACCAAATGGTCCAAGTGAAGCAAGTCTCCATGTGCTTATCAGTAGAGAAAAGGACAAAAGCTGCGGTTTAAATAGCAATAATGTCATTAAACTGATTAAGCAGTCATGAATACAGAGAAGAAAAAAAAAAAAAAGGGGGTAGCCTACATTCCTTATAAATTGCAATATAAATCATCCGCTGACATCACAAAAAGCATTTACTGGTTGATACGAATTATGTCAGGACGTTGAGGAGATCCGGTTTACACTTACGTCCATAAAATCGGATATTGGTCACATCGACATGCTTTAGAAGAAGTGTTAAGACTCGGTCGCCGCATTCAAATTGTGGTTTAGTTTGTGTCAGATCTGCAGTAAGCCTATTCAGTTGTCCATCTCCCACAAATTTCACACTTCTTCGCTGTTTTCGGTTCAGCCAAAACGACTTGAAGATATCGCCACTTGAAATCTCGTCGTGAAATTTAAACATCGACAGAGCGTATTTCCTCTTGGCAAATTCGCTACAGAAAACACCATGAAAAGCCAACAATAAAACACAGAGTATTGGGAGATGGCCGCACGTATTCATCTTGGATAGGTTATGTCTGACTGCCGCTAATAACGTCTCATCATTTTTGGTGTTTCGTTTGCCTTAAATTATGCTCGCACGAGCCAATGCCTATCGAGCTACGTATAAAAAAAATGCAATACGGCAACTCTATATATGTAGCGAAACGATGCCTGTGAACGTCCTTATTAAATGGCATGAGCCACAGCTGAAGTTAATTGTCAGTAATTTTCAAATAGGCTACCGAACCGCACGCAAATAATCACTAAACGGTTGTTAGCACAAACGTATTATAGTCAATAAACGACTATGTTCTGTTAAATCTTCTTTACTTTAGAAATTGATCAAGTTTTAAAACACTGTTAATGTCAGATAAAGGGGGTTCAACCGTTTAAATTGTAAAACAATTAAACAAAACAATTCAATAAACATCAAAAATAAATAAATAGGATACTGTTAAAACAATACAATTTGGGTCATATATTGTTTTGGCCATATAGCCATATCATGCAATAATCAATAACTTATAGGTTAATAGGCCTACAACATGCAGTGGCATTGATATGAAAAATAGCCTAGGCTGCGCCACTGATCTATAACAGAGAACATTATAAAGATCAGTATGTGGCCTACACAGAAAAAATAGGCAATGAAAACACTAACAAACTACTGCACACAGGGAAAAAAACGCATTTTATGGATTTTGTCTCAAAAACTTTCATTTACTGAGCTATATCTTTTGGGTCCAGTTGCGTAAACATAAAAACAAGTCTAACCAACTAGTTAATCAAGAGGTAATCAGTCTAATTCTAATTAGACGAATAAAAAAAAATCATCCAGATACACAAAATATAAGAGCAATCTTAAACTGCAGAACAGTGTTTAAGAGAAGAAAAATAAATAAAATAAACAAATAACCACATCGTAATAACAAAATAAAACACAAAATAAAAAATAAAAAACATATAAACAACTAAACAATAGTTCAAATTTTCTTCCTTTTTCCTTAGGACATATTCACAGATTGCAGTGGGGGAGCTATATCAGAAAAAAAAATTCTCCATGAAATCTAACAATATGTCATTCTTTTTGTTATTAATTTGCATTAGAGACTTTTTCAAAGCTTCCATTTCTGATAAAAATAGATTACACTTTGGTATGCATTTCGCAAATTTCTGTTTATGAATATAATATTTACCTTGCAAAATGTAAAAGTTAACGACATACTCAATCATTTTACTTACTAAGTACAAATAACACCTTTTAAAGATAACACATAATTAACATTTCTTCGCAGAATAGAAAGACACAAACAAAAGAACAAAATCTAAGAGACAAATCACAATTATAAAACAAATGACACAAGTCGTCCTCATGTGTGTTACAAAAACTGCAAGTATTGTCAATGTCCATGAATTTAGAAAGAGCTACTTTACATGGGTACATTTTGTGAAGTATTTTGAAACGCACCTCTTTAACTTTATTCAAAATACAAAATTTGTAAGGATTTGACCAGGTCGTTTTCCAATTAATATCAGAAATTTTTGCATTCCAAAAGAACTTTCCTCTAGGGGAGATTTTATGATTTGATTGCAAAATTTGTCTAATATTTTTATTATTACAAGAGGAAGAAAATATTTCAATACCATTCATTTTTAATTCTGGAAATATCCTTTCATTGCTACCAAAAGAGAGGTGATTATTTATTAGTTGTATCAACCCATTTGGAATAGCTTTAACCACTTGTTGAAATTCTTTAAAGGGGATGGGAAAGTTGTAAACATGCATAAAGTCTTCATAAGACAGCATGTTTCCTCTCTCATAGAACATATCAAAAATGCTGGGTTAAATACAACCCAGTGCTGGGTAAAATAAGGACAAACCCAGCAATTGGGTTGTTTTGACCCAGCGGTTGGGTTACTACCCAGAAGGTTGGGTTAAACATTTAACCCAACCGCTGGGTTAAAACAGCCCAATTGCTGGGTTTGTCCCTATTTTACCCAGCACTGGGTTGAATTTAACCCAGCATTTTTAAAAGTGTAACAAAATATATATTCCTTTCAAACCACTTATGCAAAAATAACGATTAAAAAAATAAAATAAATAAAAATAAAAACTTGTAAGACTAGCAATCCATTAAATCCGCAGTAGGTGTCGCTCCAAACTAACTTTAGATGACTCATCATCATCAACCTCTGCAAAGTATCTGCGCATCATTTTCTGCCTCTCTGCGCTACTTTACCGTGATTGGAGAGATGGGTTTTGACTGGCTCTGAGATCGCCCTATTGTTGGGTAGCCATGTGCTGCGTTTGGCCCGTTTTAATGCCTGCAGTTAAGAGTGCGACTCCGGGCGAGTGTGGAGTCTGCGGTCAGCGTGTATCTCTAGAAGAGCTGAGATAGGATGCTGCGGCATGCGGATAGATCGCTATAGCACATCACAGCTTTAGGTATCAGGACGACGACGTCGCAAACTCTTGCACAGAATTATTGAGCACTCGGCAAAAGTAATTTACAGTGCGTTTAAGGAGGCATCTAAATATTGTCCAGTCCGGCATTTAAAAAATAAAATGTTTTAGTGGCTGTTTTGACATTAAGATGATGGTCTCTTATTACACCTCGTGCATGAATTTCCAGTGAGCGACAATACAGTTCTAGGATTTCGCTGGATGTGGGATACGTAAGGACTTAAAAGTAAGTCCTTGGGATGGGTGGGGTCCTCTATGCAGCAAAGAGTGCGGGAGGGGGGGCGAGACGACGGACGAGGTGCGGGGAAGTGCGAATATCCTCGGATGGTGTGGCATCAGACAGGCTACGAAAAAGAAATTGAGAGCTTAAAATATCCAAGGTAACCTTTTATTATCTGTGCCATCGCTGTAGAATTATCATGCCAGTGAGGTTGTAAAGCTATTATTTATTAATACAATTAAGCGTCTTAGAGTCGACATAAAAGAAAGGGAAATATATTTTTAAACTGTAATAGAACGTTTAGAATTGACTGAAAACTGGATGAAAATGCATCCGAACGCATGACGTGACACGAATTCCTTCTGTGTCGGACATCTGTAATTCGCGGCAGCTTTCGTCTAATGTGGTTTGCTAGAATTAACCGATAAATAACAGATTGTTTATGCGTTGTTTTAAACGGGCATCCAATGAATATAAAACACGAATGCATTGGCTGAAGATAGGCTATGCTCTGTTGGAATAGTTTTAATAATTTAATGGGATTTAACACCATATTTTCTCTTAAAACCTTTTTGTTGTTTGTATGAACAGCATGCATCAGCATTTTAGATGACATGTCAGTTCACCTACTGTATCTGTGACTTAAAGGTGCAATAGGTGATTGTCTTCAGAAACATTTTTTGTTATGCTGGTTGAAAGTCTCTTCACATCCCGATAGCAATCATTAAGTTAAGTGGTCTAAATGTATTTGTCTGTATTTATATATTCTGTGGAAGGTGTAGGATCAAGAAATGTTCGTCTAATCAAAACGTTCGGTCCGAGCGTTTTAATTGACTTTCCTACCTGCCTGTCAACTATGTATTAGCATACCTCTGCGCACCCAGTTCGGCCTGCAGCCTTGCTAGAGTGGAGCTTCCTCAGCTGTCTTCTCACATGGTCAGGTGTAAATGGCACAGTAGAGGTTATAGAGGGAAAAGGTGCAGAGTTAGGTGGGAGAGGACAGGGTAAAATGCTCTGAAGACGGGGAGAGGGTGAAGAAGGTGAAGGCTGTAAGCAGGCAGGGGGTCTATACGGAGGGGGAGGTTCCGAGAGTTCAGTGGCTAATGATGGTGGACAAACAGAGGAGTCCTGGGGAGGAAGGGCAAAAACATCATCAAATCTATTAAAAAACAGATCAAGTTCGCTGGCCCTTTTCTAAACCACCACCAACACCTACACTGTTGGACCTTTGAAAACCCATGATGGTCCTCATGCCACTCCAAACCTCTCTTAAATTGTTCTGCTGAAGCTTCCCCTCCAATGTCCTCCTATAAGTGTCTTTAGCCACTTTTAAAGATTTTAAAGGTGCAATAGGTGATTGTCTTCAGAAACATTTTTTGTTATGCTGGTTGAAAGTCTCTTCACATCCCGATAGCAATCATTAAGTTAAGTGGTCTAAATGTATTTGTCTGTATTTATATATTCTGTGGAAGGTGTAGGATCAAGAAATGTTCGTCTAATCAAAACGTTCGGTCCGAGCGTTTTAATATGCTTTCCTACCTGCCTGTCAACGTATGTATTAGCATACCTCTGTGCACCCAGTTCGCGCAGACAGGATACTCATCAGCGCGTTCACGCACGCTGTGCAGACAGAGCGAGGATGGCAGGCAAACATCAACAACCCGATCTTCCTTCCTGGTATTGTAGTGCTTTTAAAGATTTCTCACCTGTGAATGACACATGATGTAGCCCAGCGGTTAATCCAGTCCTTGCGCCAGCTCGTTAGAAGTGAGCTACGTGCATGAACTGTGTTCCGATCGATATGATCCCTACACAGTGTTCATTGCTCCCTACTCCCTGAGCGGGGTAAATCCGTTGAAGTTTACTTCACTTCGGAACATGGGCTGGAATTGGGAACCTGATGTAGCCTATTGTAGTAATGTTGTCTCTGGTCTGTGAGTGTAAATGCGTTCAGGGGGCGTGGCTTTGGACGGCGATTGCAGGAAGGGTGGGACGTTCGCTTTCAGTGCTATCAGGCTAAAGTTAGCATTTTCCAAGATCTCCTATTGTACCTTTAAGAAAGAGCATCATCAGAGTGCCCCTTCTCCTCCTCCCACCTGACATTGTAGTTTAACAGCCGTTGGAGATTTGGGCATGTGATCTTGGTAGAAACAAATCTAGTATCCCAGAAGTAAAGTGACCCTTTAGAAGTGATAAAACAATTGCTGTTTATTGCATAGCATTTATGCAGCTTTAATGTGGTGATGTCAGCCATGGCTGCTTTGTTATCAACATGTTGGGAAACTCTACTGTACCTGACTTAAGTGCAAAGACACATAGCTGCAGTATTACTAGCACATGGTTAAAAGTACCGTGTGAATGAAAAGCATAGATTCATTTTGAATCATGTAAAAAGGTCATTAGAGCCTCCCTTCCACTTTCTTCCTCAATGCTTTGCTTGGCACATCTTTAAATATAAGGCAACTTTTTTTTCTAAAAACATGGATATTCTCAGTAAGTCATCATTGGATGGCTGCAGAATTTTTTGATGTAGAGTATTTCTTAAACACAAGATGTCATGTCTTATAATATTTCCCTTACAGCAGGATATTGTTCCACCCTGTTTCCCTCTCATCCTCTGAATATGTTCAAGGCCCTGGCAGGAATCTGTTTGCTTCATCTGACTACAATTTTATTCTTATTTTGGGCAACTATTGATGATGTAAGTTCACATTATTCCTCTTTTATGTGTGTATATATATATATATATATATATGTGTGTGTGTGTGTAATAAAATCCATATGTCTTCTTCATACATTAAAAACATGACTTTTTAACAGATGTAAAAAGTATGTGTGTTGTGATCTGAATGTGTTTGTACCGTCATTGTAGTAGTCTGTTTGTAGTTAATGGTAGGTTTTTAATTTTCCCAGGCATGGTGGTTCACAGAGAACCTTTATACAGACTTGTGGGGCAGATGGGTGATGGAGAACAATGATAATGTCTGGGTGTACATGGACATACCAACCTCATACCGGAAAGGTAAGACAATGTTAAAAGTATTTTGGGACATTGACTGTTTTCACTAGTCAAGCCAAAATAAAGATTCGTCAATGATGTGGGGTCTTCAGTGATGCCATAGAAGAACCATTTGGCATTCTCAAAGAACCTTTCAGTGAGCAGTTCTTAAAAGAGCCATTTTTTACTTAGTCTGAAGAACATTTTAATAATCTAAAGAAACTTTTTTTGCAATGAAAACATTCCATGGATGTCAAAGTTTCTTCATGCCAGTAAAGAACCTTTATTTTTAAGCGTACAGACTGGGACATTTACATGATGCCCCTTTAATTCATCCCTCTAGACTATCTGCAGGCAGTTCAGGCGTTTGCAGTTCTGTCCTGCCTGTTTGCTGTGTTCTCTCTGTGCGTGTTCATATTCCAACTCTTTACTCTGGGCAAAGGAAAGCGGTTCACCATCTCTGGAGTTGTGCAGCTCATCTCCTGTAAGTGAATGCTTCTGTAAATCTGAGGTTAAATTAGGGCATTATTGAAACATTCCTGTGTGGATCATTGCCTTTAAGGTCCTACAGGTCATACAGACATTCATTTTTGTTGTACATTTATACATTTCTCTTGGACCTCTAGGTTTCTGCATAATGGTGGCTCTGTCAGTCTACACCGATCACTTTCACAGAGGCGAGAAGAATGGCTGGTATGGCTGGTCCTACATCATGGCCTGGTTTGGGTGGCTGCTGACCCTCTTCACTGGAATTATGTACATCATTCTGCGCAAAAGAGTTGATTAAACTTTAGACCTCGCTAAAGCCTTAATTATTTTATTTCCAAGTCTTAAGTGCACAACTTGAAAAATAATGAGTTGTCTCAAATATTACAGGCGTTGGTTGGAATTGTAGAAACTTGCGAAACAAATCACAGCATCAGCAGTTCATTGAAACTTTTGAGCACATATGCAAAGTTTAAAATCTGTCAGTGAGAAATTGTTGATTCAGCATTTGAGGAAAATTTGCTAGAGAAGTTTCTTGAAACAAGAAGAGAAATGTTTTTTTGCATTTTTGTTTAGAGTAATACTATATATTGGTTTGATGGGTCCTCTTTCCTAGTTTCTCAAAGCACTGAGGGCAGTAAGAGGGTCTAAACACACTTTATTGCAGGAGTTAGTGTGTAAAGATGGTGAAGATGCAGTATATACAAGAATGAAATGTAAAAAATGTATTTATAATATGTATAAAGAGAAAGATAAGTTGTACATAAAGTACATACAGAAAAATTTTATCATAGTGTAGTTTTAAACATCACTTGCACTTTAAGAAATAGCATTGTCTTAAACATGGGTTTATTTGATTTCATATTTTCTTTCAATTTAGTTTTTGTGTGTGTGTGTTTTAAATGGCAATAGCACAGGATAGTCTCTAGGTCAAAATAAGGGTCAAATCTTTGTTACTGCGATGCATTATGGTGCTGTTCAAATTTGTGATCATCCGCTTGGATCATGTAGACTTCTGAATACACAATCCTTTTGTAATTTCATTGTACAGACCCTCTGCCTCCATATTTACTTACGGTTTCTGTGTGGAGAAATGCTTTCTTGATAATGACACCATGGGCCCTGTTGCTATGCCAGCCATTTTTGATTAGCATGATGATGATGAATGATTGTTCATGTGGTCAGATGATCACCCTGTAAGATCCTAATTCTAGAGCGCAGAATGTTCCAAAATAATTTTTAGAATGCTTTGGTTTTTTAAATGTCAATATCTATTCAGAATTTTATGGGCGTAAGTATTCAACATCCTCTGAAGGAAGAAGCTCCTTACTTTGTTTGGTTAAAGTTTTAGCCAGCTCTAGATGTATTTTTATGTTGCAGTATGACAGTAAATGGAAAGGACTTTATTTTTTCAATGCAAAGCCAATCAGTGTAAACCTGGGAGGACATTAATTTTAGTAATCACACAAATAAAGACCTTGCCATCAGATAAGAATCTCTTCTGCTATTTTATTATTTACAACATCAATATTTTACAACTTTAAATAAGCTTCAACATAATCATTTACCTTTTTCACACAATATCTTACCATTATATGAAAATGGGGAATAACATGTACATTCATATCACAAAAGCAAAGAAATCTTCTGTTATTTGAGACATTTTCATATGAGTATGTACAGCTCTGCTAGGTTCAGTGACCTTCTACATTCCTCATGCAAAATGCACAAGGCACTGGCTTAGGAATGTTCCAATAAGAACTGTTTTGTGGGGGTGTATGGCACCAAATCATATGCCCTGACCGGAGGGTGTAATTCGTTCCTGAACCACTAAGTGGAGAAGATGATTCTGTTCTGCCGAAAGGAGAGGCCTGTTGTGAGAGAAGAGAAAGGTGTTGTTTATCTAATTCCAAAGGCTTCAGTCTAATATATATATAAATGCATAGTATGAGTCAGGAAATGCATCAAGTTCACCATAGTTCTGTCTGGAGAGCCTTGAGAGATTCTGTATCCTTTTCCTGACAGGCCATCTGTAAACAGGCCATTCAGACCATTTAGCCATCTTAATCCAAGATAGGAGTTCTACTAGTAATTTATAGCATTTTTGACATCCGAGCAAACAGTGCAGTCTAAAAGTAAGAGACCACTACTGAAAATGCTTCTATTTTGAATTTTTCTAATTTTGTTCACTGCAAATTACATTAATAACATGTAAAAATGTACATAAAAAGCTGAAATAACAATTACATTTTTTAATATGTGACCCTGGACCACAAAACCAGTCATAAAGAATTTTGACCCATACAATGTATTTTTGGCTATTGCTACAAATATACCCCAGCGACTTAAGACTGCTTTTGTGGTCCAGGGTCACATATGTTGTAAAGAATGTTTGATGTTTCAATGTCTCTTATACTCACCAAGGCTGCATTTATTTAGCAAAAATGCAGTAAAAAAGGGTTATATTGTGAAATATTATCATTTAAAACCGCTTTCTATTTTAATAAATATTTTAAATTATAATTTATTCTTGTGTTGGCAAAGCTGGCATTTTCAGCATCGATTACTCCAGTCTTCAGTGTCACATGATCCTTCAGAAATCATTCTAATATGTTGATTTGGAGCTCAAGAAACATGCTGCTTAACCATGATACATTTTTTCAGGATTCTTTGATAAATAAAAAGACCAGCATTTATTAGAAATTTAATCTTTTGTAACATTATAAATGTCTTTACTGTGACTTTGGATCACTTTAATGCATGCTTTATTAATTTAATGTGTGTATTTTTTTTCTTTTCATCTGTAATATATATATTTTTTGTAAAATGTGACCCTGGACCACAAAACCAGTCTTAAGTGTCAATTTTTCGAAATTGAGATTTATACATCACCCGAAAGCTGAATAAATCATCTTTCCATTGATGTATGGTTTGTTATGATTAACAGCAGCTTTCTCTGAGAGGCTACACTCAGACTGACAGACTGACGGATTGTATAGTTCATTACGTTCACAAGTAAAAGTCAGTCGACCTCTGCTTGAGCTGAATGCATCGAGTGATCTTAGGTCAGGATTTAGATATCAAAGAATGTGCGTTATTATTATAAACTGAAAAAGGTTTTGCAATGAAAAATTGCAGGCTTATTGAGTGCAAACACAAAATATAGAGATAAAAAAAATAGTTATTTTTTTTAACAAACTAAATTATTTCTAAAAATGACTTTATAAGAAAGTACTTGATGATATCGGAGTACAGCATGTTTGTGGTCATTGTGGCTTTTAAATTAGTTGAGATACAACTATTTGAAAATCTGGAATCTGAGGGTGCAAAATAAATCAAAATATTGAGAAAATTGTCTTTAAAGTTGTCCAAATGAAGTTCAATGCATATTACTAATCAAAAATTTAGTTTTGATATATTTACGGTAGGAAATTTACAAAATATCTTCATGGAGCATGATCTTTACTTAATATCCTAATGATTTTTGGCATAAAAGAAAAATCAATAATTTTGACCCATACAATGTATTTTTGGCTATTGCTACAAATATACCCCAGCGACTTAAGACTGCTTTTGTGGTCCAGGGTCACAAACATATTTCTATGTTGTTTAATATCATAATGCTTTGTTTTAAATATTTCAGAATCTGAAAACTTGTTTTCAGATTATTTCCAGGTTTAAACTGGATTTTGAATACAGGTTTTAAATGTGGTTATTTTAACAACCTAATTTTACAAACAGATTTTAAATACTCACCACAACCGACTGTAGAAGGAGGAACACATTTTCTGGAAAAAAGTTTACTAAAGGACAGATGGTAACAACAGTTTATAAAGAATAGCAACCAAATAAAACATTGTGCCTGGTTCTCCGTTTTGCTCGCAAGTCTTACCCTGACTGTGTGAGTCGAAGGATTCCCAGGCATATCGCTCTAGTGTTTGAGCATGCTCGGGTAACAGCTTTTGAGGGGGAGGCTTAAAAAAAGATACACAAACATATAGTGTCATTTGAGGATAGTAAACAAACACTAATGCTATTGGTCTGGTTTCTTAACATACTGTCCAAAATGTGAGCTTATTTGTAAAACTTACAGATTTTAAATATATATTTTACCTCAAGCAACATAAGAAGTAATACCCTGGAGATTTCGCACTTTGCTATGATATCCATATATGCTCCTGGAATTAAAACAAACAGAATTGAAGCATGAATCTAAAGAATCTTACAGCATATGCTTAATTTTCTTGGCGTCATTATTATTAGCAGATGTCAAATACACAAACTAAAAGACTGCTGACTCAGTCTGCAAAACAGATGTTTGACAAGCGTGAAAATCAGTCACAAAATATAACATGACTGCTTCTTATAAATTTGTGATTGCAGGGTATAATCAGGAAATTCAAATAAACAGCAAATCTGGTGAAAATCCCTAAAATTAGGCCACCAAACCACACCCAGCTAGATTTCAAAACTAAGACTGATTGTATAATGTTGTGAATGTTCATACCGACAGGGGTGTTTGTCCCGGGTAGCTGTAGTCCTCTTTCCCGACACATGTGCTGCATCTCAGAGAGAACGGCAAGAGCGCCCTCATGATCACCTACCAATCAAACATCACAACTCTGACAACCACAGAACTTCATCTGAAACGCAATACCAAAATGAATCATTGCATTCTGGCAGAAAAACACTGCTATCTTTGAACTCACGGGTCAGTATTTTGCAGGAGGCCATTTCCCACAGTGACAGCAGGGCCTCAATTGGAGTCTGAATCTGCAGTTCTGCGGCTCTCTGGAAATGAACTATCGCCTCCCCGGGTCTGTTCATCTCCTACACACAAATATATAAACAGGACCACAACATGATTAAGCACCGTGGAACAAGATGAATATGCGATTTTAATTCATTTATGAACAGAAAGCCGCTCCATGTATTACAATGATTAATGTCTCACCTTCAGAGCATTGCCAAGCTCCAGTGAGAGACTGGCCGCCATAACAGGCTGATTCATCTCAATATAGACCTAAACAATATATAAGTACATATTTGCAGTATAACATCTAAAAAATAAAAAAAAAACACAAAAAGATTTTCGGCTTTTTACTATATTAGTCCAGTAGAGAGACATATTCTTCAAATTACTTCAATTAATTTTTAGGAGCATTTGAACATGAAACATGTGAAACAGAATCTAGCAGCTAACGAAAATTTGTTACATTTGTTTCATTTTCGGGTGATTTATTAAACAAATGTTGGTTTGCTTGTATTGGTTATTTAGCTGCTCATCCTCACCCTCTCTTCCTCTAACTGTGAATGAGGCTGTAATAGTGAACAAAAGTGAATAGCAAGTAATATTAGGCTTGATGGTTCTGTCAGGCCAGGGTTATTAAAGTTAAATAAAACTAAAACCATAAAAACATTTTCCTTACTTGAAATAAAATAAATGCTATATAAAACTTGTTTTATTTTATTTAGTTTAACTAGTTTAAATGTTCTAAAATATGTAAAACTGAAATAAACATTTATAAAACCTACATAGACATAAAAAACGAAGAAAATATGACAAAACAAAATGTAAACAGAAAATATAAAAATAAACTGTTTTAATAAAAACTACAATAATATCTCAATTATACTAAAATAACATGTGTCAGGCTAAACTGAGCAGTTTATTTGTATCAAAAATATAAAATCACAAGTGTCTTTTCATTCTATTTAAATCTGTGCATGCAAGTCTGAGCCCAGCATTCTGTAAAATAACAACCTGTGTTTATATATGCTCATCTGCTTGAGCATAAGCATCTGGTAATAAATTTGATTCCGATAAATACCTTAATCGCAAAACTATAGCAGTTCATGGCTGCCTGCATATTCTCATCGAAACCAGGAGCCCTCAGCGCTCTGGTTTCCTGTTCTGAGGCCAGAAAGAGTCTGGCTGCATCAGTCAATGCCAGGGCTTCTCCTGGAGCATTGAACAGGGTCTGCTCACAGCTACGAAAACAGAAGAAAAAAAAAATCCACATGTTGTTCACATCAGACACAAGGATGAAGAAATGAGAGAGGCTGTGTTACCGGGCCATGGCGAGATTACAGAAGGCAGCATACTGAGCACAGTCCTGCTGTTTGAGCTCCTTGGCCAGCTGACCTGAGGAAAGATGTCATATAATGATAAACAGAGAGTAGCGTTGCCGCACAGCATCACTCTTCTGACACAATACTCACCGAACTGTTCACTTGCTTCAGCGACATTAGGCTTCCGCAGAAAACGTCTGTGATTTAAAGGAGGAGAACTAAATATTAAAACGCCACTAAATGAGATTAATTTGACAGGCTGAACTTCCATACTGAACGTACTCTGGGATAGTTCATCATAAGAAGCCGCTGGCATGAAATTAAACATCTACAAGATGTCATCCTCACCTGTTCATACATAAATCTTCTGTAATTTTACAATAATAGATTGACGCGAACTTTATTTAGTAGCTCTTGAGATTTAATTAGCAACATGCTTGTGAGGGATGTGTAGTGCTGGCATGACATTCTTTGGTTACACTCAGTATTGTAGACAACATTAATAGTCTACCAAAGTTAACATTGCAAACATTCTAGTATTAGTGATATAAAGCTGTAATTTTAGCTCTTACTTTTTCAGTTTATTTGACACCGCCCGGTAGCGCGTCAGAAAATCTCCTTCGGCTGCCATTGTTGACACTTCAAGAGGAGCAACAGACAGGAAGTTCAGATACGAATGTTCCTATTGGTTGCACACATCTAAAGATGTCTTTTGATTGGTTTACACAGCGTAAGGGCGGGGCTTTCGCAGAAAATCCACCGTATTTTTATGGAAGAAAGTGAGAGGATTGATGAAAAACGACACACATTCAGTCGTTTTGATATTTCATTTATTTTATGTTATTTTATGTTATGTCTGGCCCATAAAATATTAAATTATACAAAAAAAAACTTTATTTGACACCAAGTACATTCCAGCTGGTATTCATACATCAAATTCATTAACTCAATCATTCCTTCATTCATTCACAAGTTTTCATAGACAGAATCAAATACTTCATCTTCTTGTGCTTTGCAGTGCTGAAAGAGAACACTTCACTGCATGATTATATCTTCAGTAAATGCACTATGCACTCTGTGTTTATATATTCAATACTTGAAGTTGTATATTACATTTTTAAAACCAATTTTTAATGTAGGACTACATTATAGGCTATACATGTCATATAATATTACACCATTTATAAAACAAACCTTTTTAACTGATTTTTTCTTCAATGTGTTTTCTTCATGCATCGTGTCTGGATGCAATGAATCATAAATGGAGCTTGATCTGTATTGTAGCGCCTGTTGGAAGGGAGTATTAGATTATGCATAAATTTATTTGAGACTTCATTTAAAATTCTTATTGAAACAGGTAGAAAAACCTTTTACCAACAAATACCAAATACAGAGACAAAGAAAGAGCAAATGACTACTTTCCAAGAGAGAAACAGACTGTTATCTCACTGTGTAGAGTGATGCAGATGCAGGATCCTCATCCAATATCACTTCATCATTTCCCCCTGGCCTCTGCTCTGCAACTTCATTTTTGTCATCTCTACGAGCAGGGTGTTCCTAAAAGTAATGAGGCAAAACTAGAGCTGAAACTAACAGTATCACATGTGTTTTTCTGGACAGTACATGTGTGCCCTTTTTTGGTCTTAACAGCACCATCTTGCAATCAAAGCAATTCTGGACAGTCCATCTGGAGCCAAGTGGGATTACACATTTTGCATAATAGCACATAGATCATCTTTCCTGAACTGACATTTACCGTTTAGTTATGAGTCCATAAATACTGATCAGTCATAACGTTAAAACCACCTGCCTAATATCGGTCCCCCTTGTGTTGTCAAAGCAGCTCTGATGCGTTGAAGCATGGACACCACAAAATCTCATAATGTGTCCTGTGGTATCTAGACATTGGCAACAGATCCTTTAAGCCCTGCAAGTCGCGAGGTGATGCCTCCATGGATCAGATTTGCTGGTCCAGCACATCCCACAGATGCTCAATCGAATTGAGATCTGGGGAATCTGGAGACAAAGGCAACATCTTCAACTCTTTTTTTTTTCACGTTCCTCAAATCATTCCTTAACTATTTTTGCAGTGTACCAAGGAGCATTATCCTGCTGAAAGAAGCCACTGCCATCAGGGGGTCTGAAACAATCTTCAGGCAGGTGGTAAGTATCAAAGTAACATCCACATGAATGTCAGAACCCTCCACCGGCCTGCCTTCTTCCCATAGTTCATCCTGCTGCCATCTCTTCCCCAGGTAAATGATACATACACACCCAACCATCCACCTGATCTAAAAGAAAACGTTATTCATCAGATAAGGCCAATGCTCCATAGTCTAGTTCTGACACTCACGTGCCCATTGTAGGTGCTTTCGGCGGTGGACAGGGGTCATCATGGGGACTACGCAGCCCCATATGCAGCAAATTGTGATGCACTGTGTTCTGACATTTTTCTGTCATGGCCAGCATTAAGTTTTTCAGCAATTTGAGCTACAGTAACTCTTCTGTGATCAGACCAGATGGGCTAGCCTTTGCTCCCCATGTGCATAAGTGAGCCTTGAACGCCCATGACCCTGACGCCAGTTTACCAGTTGTTCTTCCTTACACAACTTTTGGTAGGTACTAAACACTGCATACCAGAAACACCCAACAAGACTTGGTGTTTTGGAGCTGCTCTGACCCAGTCGTCCAGCCATCACTATATTGCCCTTGTCAAAGTTATTCAGATCTTTTCACCTGCCCATTTTTCCTGCTTTCAACACATGAAAGACTGTTCACTTGCTGCCCAATATATCCCACCCCTTTGACAGGTGCCATTGTAATGTTATAATCAATGTTCACACGTCCAGTGTATAACCCCTCATTGTTAGATTGAGTCCTTTGAGATGTACAGAAATTAATTGCCTGAACTTTTACAGCATGAGTATCATCTAATTCATGCATTAAAGTATACAAGAAAGCATCTGAAATTAAAGAAACTTACATTCAACAAATTAGAATAAATTGAATTATTGCAGTATGTTCTAATGTTTCTACGACACAATGTGCAGCCAAGTTTTACCTTGTAGCTTTTTAATATGTAAAGTGACCCAGCAACACTGAAGATGAGAAGAATTCCTGAGAATGCCATCATTGTGATGATGGCACTGTCTAACTCCTCAGGTGGCTGCTGATAACCTTTATCTGGAAAACCAAGAGTTGGGGTAAGAGTGAAGAAACAAGGAGGAAGTAGAGAGAACGTAACAATGGAATTTTGTTTCTGGCTCAGTTTTTGCATTACCGCTTTTCTTTTGCTGAAAGTGGCAGTTTCAGTCCAACATGGCCAAACTCACGTGCTGTCTTTATTTTTTGAATGCATTCGTAATTAACCTATTTATTTATCTGTCCAGCCTATCTAGATATATATAATTTATTTGTCCTCAGAGAGGAAATTCATTTTCACAGAGGCTGTGTATATAACACCAAGACAGCTTATCACAATACAATCAAAAACAGTCCCATCACGTCACATCACATCAAAACACAAATGCATAAGCGTAAGACGATGGTTGATTTCCTATTGGCTCACAAGCCACAAACTTATCGAGTGAAAAAAAAACTTAAATGGTTAATTTCAAGATTCATACATATTACTTACAAAAGCTTTGACTGAGAGATTAGCATAAGTCACCAGTGCATTTCAATCATGGAGCAAATAGAATGTAGGACCAGTCCTGGATGATCAATGATCTGCGTACTCACCTCTCACATGAACCACCAAATGCACTTGCTGATCTGTATAATAAAAGTAGTAATTGCCAGAACTGGAGCTATTGCGCATTCTGATATGTGCCATCACCGACTTTGTAGTTTCAAAAAATTCACTTTTAAGTTCTTTACTCCAAATTATCATCCTGCTCTGAGTATGGTAGCATTTAAGTTTGTTAGTAGTGTAGTTTGCTGGGATGTCCACTGACAGGTTGAAGTAAAGAGTTTCTCCTGCTAGTGCCACTCTGGTTCTGTTCGGCATATAGATTGTAGGTTTGGCTGGAGGGATGGAGGAGAGAACATGGGTATTATTGAACCATCTGTGCTCTCCTGATATTTTCATAACTTATGGTTTCTAATTCAGCTTAAGAGGGTGTGAGTGAGAAATCCAGCAATACAATAATAAAAATTAAATAAAACACACACTGTAATGACACATAAATAAAGATCAACAATACCTTGAGTTTCCTGCCTAAAGCACAGAATTATGATCCAATACAGGACAAGCTTGGCTACATACATCCTTGAGCAAAATTTACATTTCCTTTCATTTGAAACAAAATCAGCCACGTTTTCCTTCTCTCTGTTGTTTCATCAAAGCTCAGAAACGAAGTGGTAAAGAACTGATTTCTGTCCAGATAACATGGGAAGTTAAGCCATATTACACCAGAGTGGATGTTCACAGGACTCTCATAAGAAGTACAATCTTCTCAGGATCTCGTGCAATCGTCAGAAACCACTTCCTCTCTCACTCCACAAGCTCGCTTCCTTAATTATGTCCTTTTACAGAACTGTTGCTTTTGGTTGGCATAATCAAATCTAGATCTAAATTTAAACGTTTTTTCAACACTGAAATGCGCTTGCGCTCTTTCTAGACTAGCCTTCGTATAATCCATTCCGAATTTGAATAAAAGTTTTGTTTTTGTGCTGATAAGAGGACCAATGGCCACATGCACACGCAGCAAACATAACAATTTGAGTTGAATTACTGAAATAAATGAACTTTTCCACGACATTCTAATTTATTGAGATGCACCTGTATAAATCCCTCATCCCTCATTATGCAGTATGATTGTACTGCAGAAAATGTCATTTGTCAAAATATATAGGCATTATGCAATGTAAATGCAGACTAAAGATTAGTAGAAAAATAGTGTAATTTTATATCAAAATATGTTTGAAATGCGGTTGCAATTATGACTTGTAAATCTTACAGTTCTCTCATTGTACATTGCTATTCTTGTTGTGGTAAAATGTTATCTGTTTTGCAGCATTGCAACAGTTATTTTACATAATTTTATGATAAAACACAGCACCAGACATCATAATGACGTTGTCAGATGTCAAGACAAGACTCTGCTGACAGGGTTCGTGTGTGCGTGCGTGCGTGCGTGCGTGTGTGTTTTAACAAAACAACCCCAACCAACCCCCGTGGGAATTCTCACTCCAAGCTGAACTCAGCCCTGGTTTATATGCAGAAGCTAACCGGTCCGAATTCAGTAATGTGGTTTAAACATGCTACTCTGTCTACTCTGACCACCAGGTGGCAGCAGAAGAGCACACGATACTTTGTGAGCGAGCGCCTGACTCACATCAAATAAAGAGGAGTTCCAAAATAATCAGAAGTGAGTTACGTAATGATTACGTCACTGTCACTGAAATAGGCTACACATAATTAGCGCCAGGGCATATAAATAAAAAACAGCAGTACAGAATCCTTTTCCACTTTTTCCTTCGTTTAGTATGAATTAAATATTACTGTATATATAGAAAAAATATATAATTTATGAGTAACAATAGATAACAGATAGAAATACGATTAAGTGTTATAAGTGAAGACGTAAAAAAGAAAAAAAAAAAAAGATTAACAAGAACAAAATACAGCCATTATTATATATATCACCTTAAACATTCGAAATAGTG